TCAACTTTCGTTAAAGCGTCTTTGCTGCATCATCAGATATCAGTATGCACTGCAAGGTCCGCTACATTATTCGACGAACACATTTCTTGTGCAATCAACTTCGTTAAAGCGTTTGTGCATCATCGATCAGTGCTAAGGTGTCCTACCATTTCAGCACAAGACTGGTGCAGCCCCGTCTCGACTGATTTAACTAGGGCCACCTTTTTGACGACGATTGCGGGCATCACTTCAAAGACTTCACTGTCTTTTGAGAAAACTGTGAAAAACCGATGAGCATTTAAATGGTAGTATTCCCTCCAACAAATGCAATGTTGGTTTGGTGGGCGGAAGTTGTAGCTCTCAGCAAGAATTTTGAAGCATTTGGTACACACATGCGAATTTGCACACTGGACCCAGGAATTTTCAAAAAAGGTATAAAAATTGGGGGAAAGTTAAATTGTGAACCAACAATAGAAAACAATAAGCAATATTTCGCAGTATTAATGAGCAAAAAGGACTTTCTGAGATATTGATTTTCCATAGTAATCGGCCCCAAAACTTCCTGAACTCAGAAAAGCGACACTAAGATATCCGGTACCTAATACAACCCCCCTTGTCAAGGTTTCCTCGACATGCTTGATCCTGCACCGAACTCTTCCTTTTGCTAACAACCCTTGTATAAGCTGGCCAACGGATGAAATCCCACGCTTAGTTGGACCCGAGTCGACCTGAGCAAAGAAACATGATACATGCATTTGAGAGATCTTTGGTGCTCTAAACAATTATAATGTAAGGTGCACATCCATAAGTCGGTCACCTTTTCCGTTGTTCCGAATCGTTTCTCCTTTTCTGTTGACTGTTCCTTTGCAGTAGGGCCTTTCAACACTCTCCCTCCCCTCCCCCACCGCACCTCACCCACGTGGCCGTGGCCATGACATGATGTTCGCATCCAATGTTCTGTTTCACTGAATAAATTCAACGATTGATTTGGCTCAAGAAAGCCAACGAGAAGCTTCTATTTTCTGAAAATGACAATTTCCATTATAGTGCGGACATTTAAAAGCAGCAACATGATCTCCTTGAGGTGGATGCGTCCGTAACCAAATCCGACCGGATGTTGGCAGGAAAGAAAACCGCGCCTGAAATCACCGACGTATTTGTCATGCAGGCCTGGACGAGCAATTCCGTTCTTTTCTCCCTTTCCCGTGCCTCCTTAGCAGCTTACAATTTCGTAAAACGATTGTATTTTTTAGCAGGGGGGGAGGGTAGTACGCAAAAGACATTCTGCCACACTTCAGCAGTTTTTCGGCGCAAAATTTGTCGTCGTTGATGGAATACTTGCAGCGAAATATTCCTCAAATGTCCCTCTATAAGTATCGCAATCGCTCCTTCACTGCCCTCGGCGTCCTCAAATATGACGTCATCTGCCCAACTCTGAATATGTATGTATCCGAAGCTCTGAATATGCAAACCCCCTTGGAACCCGTTTTCAAAACGTCGTATTGGTACACGATCCTTCGAGGACCCCATTGAGCTCGACCAGTGCACCATGTTTCCGGGGCAAATTTTTCTGATGCCGTCCACGTGGAAGGCCACTAGGAGTTTCCTTCTTTTCATGAAATTGAACGTGAATCAATTTCGAGTTTGTTTGGAACATTCGATTTGAACTTTGGTTTGTAGTTCAATTTATTTGCATTAGACAATAAAAGTCTTTCTTTATTGTCCGCTCCCCCGTTTATTAGGACTATAATATGACTGGACACATCCTGTATGCGTTTTGAGACGAATCTTTTCTAAGAAACTCTAAATGTAAGATACGATAGCGATATTTTCCATTAAAACTTGACTAGTACAGATTTCAGATCAGGTAAAATGGAACACATAAGCGGATTTGCACCATGGTGCTTCAAATCCATAAGAAAAAAGCTTATCCTCAAATCAGGCTGAATATCCCTATGGCTGGCTTGAGATGCATGCGATCTCTTACGAATTATGAGCAGGAAACCTGAGAAGCATTTTACAAGATTTCCCAAAGTCAAACCGGCAGCATTCCTATGAGTGTTAGCACTCGTTGCAAAACTTTGGGGTTACCCACGCGCCAAATATAAGTAAGGGACCTATCGAAGTTAGCTGCACGATTTCTATGTGTTTCTTATAACATTTTTGCTTGGTAGAAATGGAGTGAAACTTTGAAAACATGTCCACTAAAGAATCATGACAGCGACGCAAGCGAAATGAAGAGGGTGCCACGATAAGGTCGAGGGTCGAGGAAAGGGAACGATATATAGTAAGAATGCAGGCGGATCTCGTTAGGATGTGGGCGATGTGCGTTTTGCAGCAGAGGGATGCCGCTCCTCCAGCTTCCTAGGCAGACCGTACTCACGTTGCTCGCGCTGCTGCACGTCCAGCGGTAGCTAATCCTTCACCTTCTGACTCTAGCCTCCCTAGGTGAGAAAGCGTTAGCGTTGATGAGGTCAGCACCCATGAGACTTGCTCAACGTGGAGATCAAGAGCAGGGCAAGGAGTGGCCCCATTCTCGGGTTCTAGGCCCCTATTTCTGTTTTTTCCTTCATCCTGCGTCACCATCCACCTATCCTTGATCTATAAGAGCTACCTTCTCATAGTGAACTCTTTCACGCCTTTCACGCCGCTAGTTCCCTCTTCACTGATTAAGCTTTCGAGAAAAAGGTAAACTATCCATAAGACCCCTACTACATATAAAGCGCTAAGTGTGTGTGTGTGTGTGTGTGTGTAATAATATTACGCCTAAGTTATGTGTTGGTGTGTGTGTGGTGTGTGGTTTGTGTGTGTGTCGTGGTGTGTGTGGTGGGTGTGTTGGGTGTCGAAATTCATTATACGAAGTTATACGACCAAGCATTTATCAGAAGTTGATTTCAAGATATGACATAGGTGGCCGGCCGGGAACATAATTGGCGGAGGGACAAAAGGTTATAATAGCTGATAAGGTTCGATAAGGGGCGCTGGGACGCAGGGATGACGAGTTTCATAGTGCTGAGACACTGTCCCTTAGATATGATATAGGGGGCGAGCCGGGAACATATTTGGCGAGGGACCGAAGGTAATAACAGCTGATAAGATTTGATAAGCGGCGTCAGAATGCAAGGGTCACGAAATTCATAGCGCGCGACCAGAAGGCATTGAACTCCCCGTGGAACTTTGAGTCGAGACCTAGACATATCGATAGAGCCTGGGACAACGGTTAGAACTGCGGAACCCAAAATTGCAAAACGATTCTGCCAAGGAAGTTACGAGCAGTCGAAGTTGGCTGCAAATGAGTGCTTTTGGATGAGGCTCGCTAGTGTTAGAAACTGTGTTGCCGTGGTGTAGTGGTAAGGCTCTCGCTCATCATCATGCAGGTCATGGGTTCGGTTCCCGCTGCGGTTCACGTTTTTGCAAATCATGTTCCGTACCCAGTAGAGACTTCTATTCTAGTTTTGACATTTATTTGAATAAGCACCTAATCACAGCTATGCTAATACCATTGACGTTTGTTGTGTGTTGAGATGAAGTAACTTCGTGCGTACTTTCTTCTACACCCAGCGTTCAGTTAGAAGAACAGAGCTAATTTGATACGTCTACCACTCCATGGCTTGTCTGCCTTGCCTTACCAGAGCTGTCTTCATCCTCGTCATCGCAATAATCCCACTCCGATTCGTTGGGGCGTCCGATTCCAATCTTTCCCCTTTACAATATCGATCCAGCGAGGATGCCACGAAGTATAAAAGCGAACCTCGCAGCAATCTTCCTCTCTTCGCGTGTTGCAGGACTGTTATCTTCTTGCTCCGAATTTCAGCGAAAAGTATCCAAACTACCTTCGCGGGAGAATACACCATTATCAATGAAGATATTCATCAGGAACATAGCGACAACTAAACTCTCCACGTTCTGACAAGGTGCTCGCTCGGATATGTTAAAACTAGAATAGAAGTCTCTACTGGGTACGAAACATGATTTGCAAAAAGCGACCGCAGCGGGAACCGAACCCATGACCTGCATGATGATGAGCGAGAGCCTTACCACTACACCACGGCAACACAGTTTCGCCAACACTAGCGAGCCTCATCCAAAAGCACTCATTTGCAGCCAACTTCGACTGCTCGTAACTTCCTTGGCAGAATCGTTTTGCAATTTTGGGTTCCGCAGTTCTAACCAGTGTCCCAGGCTCTATCGATATGTCTAGGTCTCGGCTCAAAGTTCCACGGGGAGTTCAATGCCTTCCCTCGTGAGACCCTGTTCTTCGGATACGATATAGTGGGTGGGACGGGAACATATTTGCTGGGGACAGAAAGTGATAAGGGCTGATAAGAGGCGCTAGAACGCAAATTTCACGAAATTCATAGCGCGCGTCCCAGCAGCAGTGGGGCGTTGGTTCCAAGAAGTGATGTACAGGGTGGGACGGGAACATGTTCGGTGGGGACAGGAAGTGATAAGGGCCGATAAGGCCGATAATTACGATATGCGTAGGAACATAGAAATCACTTAAACCCTATTCTAGATAACGCATTTCATTCCAATATCATCTCATTTCATCATCAACATGAAATACCGTTCGACCGTTACACTCCCCTAGTAAGCTATATTTCTCCATCGTTTTTCATGAGTCTACGGTATTCCTTATACCAGTTTTTCTGGAATAATAGCAGTCGTGGCTTCAGCATTCGCTTCGGAAGTCTTTGCTTGTGACCCAGGGTGCGCGATGGCTGCCCAACGGTCGTTGCTGACAATGAGACCGCGCTCGTAGGCCAAGGAAGCCTCTTAACGCGAGGGAGCTCTTGTTCTGCATAGAACCACATCATTCTTCTGATTCCTCTTTCATACTATGCGATTACCCTTTTTTCCGTTATTATCGTAAAGTATGGGTGTCATACATACGTGCTCATTGAAAATACAAGAGGGCAAGTTAGCTCCCGTGCACGATGCCTTTAGTGGTAGAAAATTTGTGTGTGTCCATGCGCATTGTTAGGCCGCTGTTATGTCTGAACTTCTCCCTTATAGTTCAGGGACCTAACACGAATATAATGCCTCGAAGACGCAGAACCGAGGAACAGATCAAGCACCTTGAGCCAACAGTGAATCGTTTCGCTGAGGACACTTCTATGTTGGGCTTCAGATACCTGCACACCCGATACAAAACGTGGTTCAGGTAACCAAGTAATTGCTTTAAACTCAAACATTACAAAGAAGTCCGAACATCATTTAACGTTCATTAAAATTAGATAAGTTGGGCTCAATACTATTTGTGAACACCCTTCGAACCTCATCTTCATTGGTTGCTTCAGATTGCTATGGGCGTTGGTTCTCACCTTCTTTGTCGGTTTGACAGTATATCAAGTTTGTGAAAGAATCGCCTACTATTTTATTAGGTGAGATTTCATATATTTTGAATCATGTTTACCAGTTTGTATACCCTCATAGCGGTTGACACCAGATTCAGATCAATTCTTCATCCAGCACTTATTTTTATCAGTTTTAAGAAATCCACTCACCACTCAACGCTCCTATGAATCACCACAGCACATGCAGTTCCCTTCGATTGGCATTTGTAACAAGATGCAAGTCAGGTAAAAACCGAATACCTACTATATATAATGCGCTATGTCTGTCTGTCCGTCTGTCACGAAATTCGGTATCAAGCGAACAACAACCTACAGGGTCCAGGTCAAGTTTGGGATGGGTATACCATATCCCTAGAAGTAAAAAACACACATCAGCCAAGCGGAGCCCCGCCCACAGTGGGCGTGGCGTGCATCGGTTGATTTCAAATTCAGTCACAAAACAGCCTCGAGACCGGGACAAAAGTGGGCATAGGTGTGGGTTGGTAAGCCAGATCACGGGAGTATGAGGGACCACACTTCTGCGTCGGGGCGGGTCGCGTTCTCATGAAATGGATCGTTGGGCTTCAGTTGAAATATTCAGATTAACCGGCTTAAAGAGAGGAAGCCTACAGACCAGGAACGAAATTAGTGCAGGGGAGCAATGCCTAAGGTATTTCCACCACGCATGATGTGAACGGAGGCCCGCCCACAATGGGCGGAGCGTGTCGTGAAGCGGACAGCATTTTCTACAAGAGCTCATAAATCGGCTCCGAGATGACTTAGAGACCGGAAAACAACGGATAGAGGTCAGGAGGGGAGGGGAAGCTAAATGTCAGGGAAGGGCGTGGCTTACATCAAAGTGGGCGGAGTTTGCAATTAGGCTTATAACTCGGTTCCTAGGAGTCCCGGAGTCCGGGAAAAAAGCGTATGAGGGTTGGCAGAGGGAAAGGGGTCAACCGTTGTTGGCGGGCGGAGCATGCACCAAAGTGGGCGGGGTTTGCCACGGTACTTCATAACTCGGTTCCAATAAGTTCCAGAGATGGGAGAAAAGTAGAAAAAGGTTGGGGAAGAGATGATAGCCGACTGATATCAGTGGGCGACCCACGCACCAAAGTGGGCGGGGTTTGCCACAAAGATACGTAGCTCGATTTCGTCCCCTACAAGACCTCATAATTCGGCTCCGAGATGACTTAGAGACCTGAAAAAAATATGCCAGAGGTGAAAGTAGGAGTAGAGGTTGAATGTGAACGCTGGGCGTGGCACACCCGGATGTGGGCGGAGTTTGCCACCGCTCTCATAACTCGGTTCCTAGAAGTTCCGGCGACCGGGGAAAATGTGCATAAGTATTGAGGTATGGAGTAGGGTTGAATGCCATTGTTGGGCTAACCATGCACCAAAGTGGGCGGGGTCTGCCTCAGAAATTTCCGTGATCATAAAAAGATGTACCGAGCAGAAAGCTAAAATCAAGACAAAAATACTGATGGGCCCGATTTTACCGCTGCAGCCCCGTCTCATGCACGCGAATGCGTGCGCAGCCAAACTGGTAAAGGATAAAGCATTTGCCGTTGATCAATCCCTTTTTGGGATGCGGCACGCTTCTATTTACTGTACATTCAGTAGATGAGCGTTTGAATGCGACAATAGACTTGTCAATGAACGTGACAGGGCCCTGCCGCATGTCCAAGTCGGGAGTGGCTGTTTTTATGATCCTAAACAAGAAAAGTCTAAGAGTAACACAGTCGACCCACAGCAAGGGAGGGAAGGCTTGCACGGTTGGCGCGAGCGACTCGAACAACCTGGAATTATGGATCTCCTGACCGACGTCGCAACATAGCGAAGCGTCGCACATTGCCACTAACACCACATTCCGACCCCTCAGGCAGTTAGGATTCATGATTAAGGTAAAAAGAGAGGTCAACAGATAGATCTGGAGTACGGCAAAAAGTAGAAACCCGGTAACCAGCCAGTAAGATAGTACGTGTCACACGTGCTGGAAAGATGTCTCTGAACCATACAAGCTTTAGCCTTTCGAGCACTAGTCCGCTGCACTATGTTTGACAGAAAATTTTTATTCCCAATTCATCCAATTTACGTATCATTTGTGAGATGTGAACCAGTCCACTTTCCTTACTCAAATAATCGCAACCCTAGTCCTACCGAGAAATATACATGAGGCATTTCCAGCTATGGGTTGCCCTCTTGATTTTCCTTGCACTAGCCTGAGTTGTGAATCCTGTGTTTCAGAGCGTCAGCGTTGGCAATGCAAGAGCCCGAACTCGTTCGACTTCTCTCTTTGATCTACGACGATGATGGAAATGTAATGAAAAAATGTCTTTCAATCAAATTCTTTAGCGCTTGAGAATTGCATAATTTTGATAACTCATTACAATCAAAGCCATATTCCACGACCAGTTGGGTGCGCATATTTGCTGGTTTGAGACTGAATGCGGTGCGAGGTGTCTCTGAAGTAAAGAAGAAGGGAAAGTATCCGGCCGAAACTCTGAAAAGGACCGCTTTTCGGAGAGAAGTGTTTAGGAGACTGTCAGGTTACGGATAAAAAAGATAGAGCTTTCGGCGCTGATCAATCCACTTTTGGGATACACCACGCAATCTACTTCCTTTCAGAATCCTAGTGAAATAATGAATGCCGATCTGAGTTATATACAGGGTGGTCCAAATTATGAGGACCGCGTGCGCGCGCGGTCATATCCACTTTTTTCCGAGTCGCTCCATTTTCATCTCCTTTTCTGTGCACTATGTGAAGGGTACAATGTCTTCTTCCTAATGAAACCAAATTTCATGCAGTTCTCAAAACTAGTGAAATAACTACTTCACCTTAGTCAGTCCTCAAATTGAACTCACTAGGGGCTCTGGCACGTTACATCTAGCGGCAGTCTAACGTATCAGGGAAGCTCTTATGAGCAACAGTTCAACTCTTCAATAAGTTTGGAACCACCACAGATGGAAAATTCGGAGACTCGAAAGTTACAGTTACCACCAGGATAATTATCAGATGCAGAAACTAGGTCTCCCCTTGTCGACTTTCGTACTCCCAAAATGAAAAAATTGATGTGAAAACCCAGCCAGACACTCTAAAGACTCCACATCTGTAGTGGATAGAAAGCCACACGAGTAGTCTACTTGGGACTTTTTACAGGACCGAGCACCCAAGAATAAAGCAAAAATTCTCTAAAAAGCGATTTTTCGAGTTCGTTGCTTTCGAAGAATTGTTACAATGGAACCTTCCACCTAATAGCTCTAGATTTCTGTATTTTACACCCTAGAGGCAAGGGCAAATGCAGAGCAGAAATCCTGGAAACATTTTGACACGCCTCAGTTGCGTGCCACCGCACGCGCCATCCCCTTCATCTGAAGGCTCGTGTAAACGGGGCAGGTGGCAGATCTCAATTCTATTCTGGAATTACTTTGAGATAAGAGTTACAAATACTTCCCTGAAGTTTGTTTGTTCCATCAAGCTACTATGCGTTTTAACGACACAATGTCTTGGTCCTCATAATTTTGGCCCACCCATTACAACAAATGCGGGTGCCAGCTGATACGAATCAGTGTTATTTTCCCCGATAAATTGGTACCAATTAACCGATCCCGAAGCGAACGCTTGGTTGGCCTGCACGATACATTGTCTAGAACTTGATCTTCGCACCGCGCGCGTGGTAGGCAGCGTCACTTCTCACTATACCATTTCCGTCAACAAACCCCACCCTGATCGTGGAACGTGTCTTTAAATACGAAATGATGGGAACTGCAGGGTAATATACGCAAATTCAGTCATTGAAAAACGAAAGTCTTCTGGACTCAATGCGGATGTTTGACGAGGCTGATGTGCTGGCAATACAAAAAGCTGCTCATCAGAAAGTGGACGATCTTTTCCTGAGGTGAAGTTTCCCACCGCACAATTCGCCTATATTGCTTAATTATTAAGTCAAAGCAAAGTTTACGTCTCGTTGGGTACTGCCGAAGGCTCTTTGCTTCTATACCAACAGTGTTATTATTTCATTTTTACAGAGT